ATGCAAGATGTTCAGCATTTGGCAGGACTGAGCCTTATATTTTGAATAGTAATTAGCACAAGGATCATACTCTCTTATCAGGACATTACAGTAATATCACTGTAACAAAGTGATTTCCACATGGGTTTAAAACACAACAGAAAAAAAACAAGTAGCCGACTCCAATTAATTTCAGAGGCTACTAGAGGACTTTTAGGCCTTGGTACACTGGGAATAATACTGCAGAATGCCGGCAAGTTGAAGAAATAGTAAGATGCCCAGGCTGCCCACAGAGGTTGTGAGTCCCCTTCTCTGGAGATATTGAAAATCTGCCTGGACACGTTCCTGTGCACCTTGCTGTAGGTGAACCTGCTTTGGCAAGGGGGTTGGACTAGATGGTCTCCAAAGGTCCCTTCCAACCCTGACCATTCTGTGATTCTCTGATGGCAAGAGCAAGGAGATGGCCTTAAGAGAAATGGTAAAGAATTCTGGAGAGCTGGGCGTAGCGGAAGGTCTGCTTTAATTGCAGATTGTGGATATTCAGGAAAGTAAAAAACACTATGCAGAAGTAGGATAGATAATGAGTTAAAATTAATGTTTAAGAATGTTGCATTCTTAAAAAGTTGTTTCTTTTCCTTTGTTGTATTCTATCTGTTAATAATCTGTTGCCTATCACATACCCTAGCGCAATCTTCCTTTTCTTCCATCTCTTCCTCTAGTTCCTCCAAGTCTTCCCATTCATTGTCACTGTCATGTGTCTCTCTAGCAGGCAAGGATGATGAGAAGGGACCACAAACACGTGGTTGTGGGGTTGCCATGGTTGTGGAGAGTGTCTCGGAGCTTCCTCCCCGTGAAAGTGAGGTCACAGATGTTGAGCTGATAGCAAGATACTCTTCATCAATAGGGGTTAGAGAGAGAGTTTCAGGCATACATTTTGTGTTCGATAGGTCATCACCACTCTTATTAAATATGCAGCTGGAAAACAGAAGGATTGCACTGCTGAGGTTTTCCTCCATACACTTTATTAGGTGGCCACTGAAAAGTCTACTGCTTATACATGACATTATTTTTATTTTAACTGAAGTAATAGTTATGCTATTAAATTGCTGTCTGAGTCTTCCAGTGTTACTATAAAAATAAGTAAGTAATCAATATTTTGCAAAGCTAGTTAAAAGATTTTAAAAATTTCAGAATTTGAGAACAGCCTTTGCAAAATCTTGCACTTGTTTTTTAAAGCATTAATTAGTACTTTGATTTCTTCTTGAAAAGAATAATCAGACAATTTCTAGACGTTAATTATTTCATCTGCCATAAACAACTTAATTAACTTATCTGGTAAGTGGTATGCACATCACAATACTACTACAATTTTCATATTTGCATTTTTCTTGAAAAAGGAATGCCAGCCACGTTCTTGGCTCCTATAGGTCTTTCCTTGGTAACTAGAGCACAGACCAGAAACATGAAATATAAAATGCTTCCTGTCCCTCCATAAAAAATATGTAAAAAAAAAATTTGTAAGCTTGCTTTTATTCTTCTGCTTGCCTTGAAGCGTAAGAGTTGTCCTACAGAATTAAATGGATTTGTTCAATTACTTGAATTAAAATTATTACTGATTTTATTCTACTATGTTGGAGACACAGTATTCAGCACTTGTGATGTACAAGCGCAGACTGTAATCATATGTGTTGCGTTTAATCTTGGTTTTGCTGTTGTCATTAATGAACTCTAATAGACTGCTGTAGCAGTGTCTCCCATTACATTTAGCATTAAAGCTAATAGAAATGCTTGAAACACTTTTTTTTAAAAGTATGTGTTTTCTTCATATCAATCTTTATTGAAATATTGCTAAACCTCATTCATCTTAAAACCACTTAAAATGGCATAGCTTTTATTAATGCTTCACATGGCAAAGATGCCATGTCATTTCATATGTAATGACATCAGAGATCTTTCGCTCTCTGATGGAACTGAACTGTGTCTACCATCTCCCAAGCAAGCATACACAACTAAAAGGAACACAAATTGCATGACTTATATGAAATCACAGAAAATCCCCAGTGTTAATCTCTTGTTTCAAAAGTTGTCTATAGTCAGAAGGAAAATATAAAGCACAGTAGCAAAACAGGCATTTTGGTCAGATACAGCTAGTAGCCTTCAGTGGTTTTTTTGAAACACTGATGAAAATAAGATACACTTCTGAGCTCATGTTGTATGCCCTCAGTGAGGGAAGCAATGTAGCCTGTTAGCTTGTATCTGTGCAGGGAGGAAATGAGAGGCTGGCCATCTCCAGTAGCACAGCAAAGCTAAGAACAAAGCCGACAGTTTGTGCTTTAACAGATACTTACAACACTGTGGAAGAAGACTAGGATAATGAAAAGAAATGCCTAAGGATAACAGCAAATGCAGTCTGCTCCTTTCTTTTGGAAACAGGAAAGAAAAGAGTAAGTTCAATGGACATTGGTCGATGTGGATGTCATAGAAGCTGTCACATGCTAGTGGAGTGCTGACTGACCTTCAAAGGTGTTTGGCAGAGCTACACAAGCTCAAAGCAATAAGCCAGCAGTAGCTTAATCATAGCACAGCTTCTAGCCCATCTCTACATCACCATGGGAAATAACATGAGTCTTCGTCCTGCAGGCCCATACACAAGCTCCACTGACATGCTTGACTTTCTTTTGGAGTGTCGTGACCCTTGCGCCTGGACTTCACAGGGGAAAACTATGGGTTAAAGTTTTTCAAAGCAGCTTTTTCAAAGGTTCTTATTAGTGGCAATGAGAAGAGTAGTGAAAGGAATTTTCCATGTGAAACCCTGAGCAGAGAACTTTTAAAATTCATATCAGAAGATCTCTACATTTGCATGAAAAGTTTTGAGCAATCTGAAGAAAAGAAATTTCTTCATTAATCAAAAGAAATTCTTTAATTAACGCCTATTTCCTTCTGGGTTTTTCTGTATGTTTTTAGCTGGAAGGATCATTTAAATTGAGATTCCATTTAAAATATTGTTTAAACTGCATGCCATCTTAAACTGCTGTGGTTGCCTTTTGCAAATGCAAAAGCTGAAACTAATGATACTGAGAAAGTACCAAACAAAAACATTTACTTCAGAGCTTCCTTCTTGGGAAGAATCCAAAACTTTTCTGGGAATTGATATTTTCCCACAATAAACTTAGTTTTGTTGAAACTGTATCTCTTGGCCTGTATGTTTGCCTCAAAGATTTTTCTGCTGGTTTTATTCTCAGCAGTAGAGAAGCATATGAATGTGCTTCATGAATGTGAGTGAAGCTTCTTCTCTCAAGAGAGAGGAGCTAAAAGTGTGAATTGCTGTTAAGGCCCCACTTGACCTGCAGTCAGCTAGAGCTGTGACTCCCTAGAGACTGGAATCTCTGACTGTCTGGTTCTGTGCTTGATGAACATCAAGAGTAACAAAAGGATTTCACGTGACTGTGTGGAAAAACAGAAATTAGTTTCTAGATAAAATTACTAAAGCTGTAAGTTAAAGGCCTCTAGAAGACCTTTAAATTGTCTTTCCACCAATACTTTCTGCTCTGATGATTTATATTCTTTTGCACTGGTAAGGATGATTTAAATGGAATGGATTGTCTTCTATGTGCCAGTGTCTGGTATATCAAAAGAGTGTAAAAGGAGGCTGAGTCCATTTGCACTGTATTTTATTGTATAAGTCCTCTGGCTTAGGGCTTCTATTGGCTTCTGAAGACCAGAAAATAACTTTTTTTTTCTCCTTGATCACAGTTTGTCTTCTGAAGTTTTTGTATTTTCTCTGAAAAAATTAGAAATCAAAAGATCATACAATAAGAAAGGAATTTTTTGTTGCCTATTTAAGTAAACTCTGAGAAAATTGAAATTAAAAGATCATATAATAAATAAGACAGTCTTTGGTTCCTATTTAATTCAACAAGAGTCTTTCCACTGATTTCAAACTGCACCCAGCTTCAGCTGAACAGCATAAATGATTACAGTAGTGCAGCACTCGTGCAACTGTCTTGCAATGCAACCTTACACAAAATTCTAGTAAGATGAGAGTAAATAGAGACAGCAGATTAGGATAGTCAGAATAAGATGGTAAAACAAAATCTTCAGTAATCAGCAGTGATTAGAAGCAGATAGCTCTGTACTTAAACCTAAGCAATTCACTTTCAAAATTCTAAGAGCTGAAGGAAAGGCTGTAGAGCAGATTTCAGTATTCCCTACCTTTTGGCCCATCCAAGTTCACATGGTGAGTAGCAATTCTGCTTCATTTCTTCCTCTAGGGAGTGAAAGACTTCAGAACTGGCAGCTTCTTGATGAAACTTCCAAAGATGCTTATACAAACTTTCCCTGGGAGTCATAAGTTTCTGTATGGCCTTCTCTTGAAACTCAATTTCCTGCTCGTCATAAGTTGAGCTGTCCTCTTCAGGAGGCTCACTGAAATCTGCTGCCACTGGAGAATCCAGGCACTCTTCGAGGTCTGGAGACATGCTACCTCCATCACTGGTAGACTGATCCATACTGTTTTCTACCTCTGTACTGTCTGGCATTTCTGCCACAAACTCCTTAATTGGAGATGGTGCTGGAGTCTATCAAAATGACAGAAAGGTTAGTGTAACTCCTTTTTTATCCCCCATCTTCTTTCCTTTAAGAACAAAATAATTTGAAGAGGCAGTATCAATAAGCATCTGAATGTGAAAATATCAAATGGTAGCTGGAAGGGAGGGAAAAAATAGAGGGAGGTACTCTCTCACTAAATAACTGTTTTGTCTTTATGCTTATCTTCCACATTCTACAGGAGTTCCAGCCAGGGAACTAATACACAAATTCACTTTTCCCAATGAATCCTTTGCTAGAAGTATCACCTTTTTATTTCTTTTCATATCATGCCTCAACTTTATTCTCTTCATTTTGTAGAAGTGGCTTACAGATTTGACTCCTGTGTGACTGACCATAGAAATCAGCCAAGGGCACATTGCAGCAGAGCAACAGGAGCCAGTTTGTTATCTGGAGATGGTTCTGACAGTCGTTTCTGTCTGCCCATGGACAGCTTTTATAAATCCTAGTGGGATAGGAACCATGAGTAGGCCATTCTGCATGGAGCAAGAGTAATGCGAATGTATGTTCATTATAAGAGTACTTGTGTATGTGTCCATAAGTTGTGTTCAAGAAGCAGAAATAATAATGCTAGCACACCTAATGACACTGTTTCAGTCTCTGTGGTCTCTACTGTTTGATTTTTTCTTTTTTTTCTTTTTTTTTTCCCCCCTGCAGATTCTGCTGACTATCAATAAGAAGCTGAATAACCAGTTGAAACTATTATTTCATTCATTTAAGTTTATTAGGAGGTAGCCTGGATAGGAAAAGTTCTTTATTTTCCTCTTGCTTTTGGGAGTAATAAAGATACCTCAAGCCTCTGTGTTATAATAGCTTTAGTTGAGACTATCTGCAGTTTCTGGCTGAGGATATAGTAGAGCACTTTTAGAAGCATCACTAAAAGATCTGCTTGGGTATACGATGTTTCACTCCAGTGACAGTACTGCAATTCAAAAGTTGTTGGACTGGGATAAACATGTTTCGTATCTGCCAGATTTCTACTATTTTGCTTGCTAAGGAAGAATCATTTGAACTCTAGAGGTTAAGTTGAAGCTGGTAAGGGAAAGAAATGGAATAGAGGGCCTTGGAGAAGAGGGAAGATTGCCGTGTTTAAGACTGGATAGAATATGTAGTAGTGTTTTTCCAGGTTTACAGAAGCAAGTTTACTGACAGAAGCTTTGCCTTACCAGCGCACTCTGTTCTATTTCTGGAAGAACACCTTTTGGTGGCCTGCAAAGTAGTAGTGTGACTTCTGGAGGAGCTCCTCTCAATATGTGCAGGACATCCTAAGCAGGACGAAGGAATATTAGATTTCTTATGGAACACAGTCTATACTACATGTCATTTTACCAGCAGGGATGGAGACAATTTTTATTGTGAATGCCAGATTCCTAGTATTTGTGCCTCTCAGCAGTGTCTGGGGGCCAAAATTCACTACTGTATGATTGTCATATAAGTGAACCATAGTTTTTATGTTAATGTGTATCTAAAGTAAACTCAGTTCTGTTTACAAACTTTTGTTCCACCAACAGACACACAGATTTAAATTCATTCTTTTTCTTTTCTCGAAGAAAACAGGATTTTCCGACAAATTCATTCAAACTGCATGTGGCAGGGACACATCTTCAGTCAATTATATCAGCATAGCTCCACAAACTGCCATATTGACATAACAAAAGGGAGACTTTCCCAAAGTCTTTTGGCTATAGTGGGAGATGAAATACTTCATCTAGAGGGGGGGGAAAATGCTGTAGGCCAAAACACCCCATCTACCCCTCTGCACAAACTAAGTAAAAAGGCTGTACATCAGAGAGCAAGACAGTGATGGAAAAGGACAGACTCCAGGTCAGAAAAAAGGAAAGGAGTACAATTACAGCACCGGGGGGTGCTAGGTGTCCTAGACCAGGTGTCTAGGACTAAGAGCACCTCATCTTTTGCCCTAGCTATTTAATTATACAAATGACCTGTCAGCGGGAAAATCATATGATTTCATCATTTCTGTTTGCTACCAATCTTATCTATTCAATACATATTTATATACAAAACTCAGGAATTTTTCATAAGGTGAAAAGATTATTATCAAAAAAGTAAACCCACATGTAATCCTTTTTTACCATTTAATTTCTTTATGTGAGATAGAATTTCTCATTCCAGGTAAAAAAGCTACACTGGGTTTACCTCACCTGATAGAAATTTGAATCTGGGGCATGGTATTTAGCATGACATTACAAAGCAGAAATGACCACAGGGAAAAAATGTTCCAATTATGCATAACAGCAACAAAGATCCCGACTAATTAACAACTGGTGTGATCTAACAATAGACTGTGCATCAGTAGTAGAAAGTTATAAATTAAATTGCAGAAGAAATTCTCCGTAAGAATTCTGTTAGGAAGGAAACTCTCAATAAAAATTCTAGAGAAGAATCCTACATAGAAATCAGATTCATTATATGCAAATTCTGACTCCCTCTGGTGATAATTAAGTTTAAATGTATTTTCATCCCATTGTCTTTATTAGCATGTTACCCATCCAGAGTCCCAGTGATAGTACTGCCTGGTACCTGATACAAGAGTCCTTGAATAGGTTTCCCATTCACAGCTAAAATGATGTCTCCGACTTCAATTTTGCCATTCTCTTCAGCTGGCTGCCCTGGAAACAATCTTTTGATCCTGACAATAGCTCCTCCAAGGTGTTCACAAGCATCTCCTTCCATTTGCAGAACACTAAAACCGAGGCCTCCAGAATTCTTTGTCAATTTGACTTCAAATGTATTATCTGTTCAAAGCAGAGATTGGAAAAAGAGTGGGAGCTGTGGTATGTGTACTACCTAAGGAGCTAATGTAAGTTATACCCTCAGCAAACCTTTTCCCTGTGTGCTGCAGAGGTAGACCTAGTGATACTAATGACAAAAGAAGGGTTTGATGTTCTTTTAACTTATGTGAGCACTCAAAATCGCACAGGTAGAATGGGGAGAACTGGATTCTATTCCACCATGTATTCACAGACTTTATGCCATCTGGTACAAGCCCATAAAGGAAGAAGACTTTTGTACTGACATAAAAAGGTTCAAATGCTATCCTTTTCTGACATACTTCTGTAAGCATTGGGTAGATCTTACTATTCTGTAGCTGCCTGATGTTATTTTGGGTCCTGCACTAACCAGCATAAGCTAGGATCAGAGCTACTGCTCTTCTCAGACAAGAACAAGAGACCAGCCCTTTCCCAAATACCATATTTGCAGCTGAACCCCATTCTGCTAGGGATGATGTAGAGGAGTAACTGCCCCATGGGAAAGTATGGTTCAGACTTAGTGTTTATCAGATAGCCTTACAGTAAAAGATAGAGCATTTATTTGTTGACTAAATTCAGTGAAAGTGATCTCTGAATTATTGCTTTTAAGAAATTAAGTGATGGAAGTCTCCAACCCTGGCCCTGGGGCAGCAGCTCACCCTAGCTTCATCACTGACACAGCATCAGCAGTCATGCTGGCGAGGCTCTCTTTGACTGGCAACAACACAGCTGCTTCTTGCCTGAGAGTGCTACAGAGTAGAGACAGGGACGTCCCCTGCCAGCCCTATCTCATGAAGGCTGAGAGATACAGTATTTATGCCTAGGATAAATTCAGCTATATCTGGCAACCGTAACTCTAAGTACATCAGAAATATTTTGTTCAGAATTGATTTTTGATAATGCCATTAATATTGCACATTACGTTTTTATTCAGTATGCGGTTTTCCTTCCAACCCACAGAAATTTCATGGAATTATTTTCATTCATTCCTTTCTTACGCATTGTAAGAAGTCACCCTGAGTTTCTTTTTTATCGCTCACCATCTGTCAAAAAGCAGTAGTCCTTGGTACCATCTGTGTAGGATGTTGCCACAGAAACAACTGCACATTGGTCCTCCTTTCTGTCATCAGCAGTCAGGCATGGCTCTCCCAATTGGTAGTTTCCCCTTTCTAGAACCAGCTTGGCAATCTAAAATGATGATGAATAGGTTCCAGTTACACAGTACACAGTGAGCCCTAAGTCTGTTTACTTTTGTTTTTAGGAAAATGGGGTTGGAGGTGGGGGGTGGGCGGCGGGGGGAAGTTTCTTTTGGCCCAGCTTTGCTACTGTGCTTCGTACTAAGTGCAGTTTATTCTACTGAGTATCTGCTGTTGTACAAACCTGGCCAGATTTCTTAAGGTGTTCCACAGCCTGTTTGTGGGTGATGCCACAGAGGCTGATGCCATCTACTTCCAGCAGACGATCACCTGAGGCAAAAGAAAACAAACAAACCAACAAACAAAAAAGGGTCAAGTTGCTTTGATGTTCAAGTTCAATGGGTGTAAACCTTGAGGCTACCCACAGGCTGAGGAACGGTGGACTGCACATTACATTTCACAGTTGTATGATCTCCAATCCCAAAAGTGTTTCATTGTCTCTGTGGCAAGCATTCCACACTAACATTGAGTTCTGCAGCCCAGAGTTTTATTACCAGACATGTTACCTATCTTTATTTGTCCGTCCTTATCTGCTGGTCCCCTGGGAATAATTGACTTCACATATATCCCACCATGACGCACACTGGTGTTAATTCCACCCTGCAAAACATATGCCCACAGATTAGAGTGGAATCTTCACATGTTCTTCTTGTGATAAAAATCAAAGCAACTTACACATGCATTGAAGAGAAACTGCTTCAGGAATTACATTTTTTTTAAACATAGGAGAAAAAGGAAAGAGGATGTTACTCCAAAGTCCCATCTAGTTGTAATATATTTCCCTAGGCAGTAATCTTGTTTTATTTTCCGAGGAAAATGCAATGCATTTCTACATGACTATATAAAAACATTTACTAAATGTTCATAACTTTTTCCCTATGCTAACATAAATACGGGTTGCACCTTTCAGTCAGTCTCTAGCCCAGCTTCCAAACTATGCAATATCCATTCAGCAATTATTAACCTTTCAGACTATATATAAAGCATGGACCTGAACTTGTACAGCTGCTTGAGAGCCTACAGCTCAGAGGAATTCCAGATTAACCTAAGAATCATGATCTGTCTATCTACATCCCCTGGCCAAATTCAGATGAAAAAGCAGCCTTCAATTTCTTCTGCAGGCCATGAAATGGCTGTTACATCCCACTCCATTTCAGCAAAGATTGTAAAGATATCTCTGCCTGGAGGGGTAAATTCAACTTTGATAGTCAGGACAAGGAATTATTCAAATATGAGTGATAGTTTTCACTGCTGCCTTCTCTTGTCCTCTACATATATGGAGAACTGTATTTCCTTATATTAGGAAATAAAATTGGCTAGGATCCTTTCTCAGGCCTTCCAAGTAAGAAGCATGGCATATCTTGAGTCCACATAGCTAAACTTTCGGCCCCTTCAGCATGGGATGGCTTCTGTTATACTGCTTGTTGACCAAAGCCTTATTGGGGGCTGTCAACAATTAAACAGTGCCTGTGGGCTACTGCTTGAGCCCGTGCCATGGTCCTGTGTAATCTGCCTGTACAGACACAGCCTTCGAGTTCCAGGAGGTCCAGGAGAGCAGCAAAACCAGTCATGACTTGGAGAATTGTTTGCATCACTGCATTTTCTAGAGGCTCTGGCTATACACCTCCCTGACCAAACTCCACTTTCAGTGGTAGGTCTTGTTCTCAAATTGAGTAAGGATGAAAAGGGCTTGTACTGCCATGTGCTTTATGCCAGTACACTTTAACAGATTCTGTGGGCAAGAACTGGGGCATGAGCAGAGCCAGTACTTTATGCTTTCTCTGTCAATCAATTGAACACTTAGGTCTGAAATGTGCCATGCTAACAGTTTTTGTTATTGGCCTATCTTCTATGTTTGTTACAGATAAATACACTTCTGTATGTGTTTCTTGGTCATGTAACAGTTTCACAGACACACTGAAAGATTAACAGTAACACTTGCAGTCACACTGATTCCAAAAGTCCCATCTTCTTTAACAAGCTCCACAGTATAGATTTCCTTTGAGTTGGTTTCAGATGGAGGTGGTAAGAGTGAAGAATCAGCTTCCTGTCTCAAAAATATAAACACTAATGAGACTACAATATCTCAATAAAATAGGGGAGGAAAGGAAGAAAAAAAGACAAGAGAGCAATAAAATAGGGGGGGAGGAAGAAAAAAAATACAAGAGAGTTTCCAGAAGACAGAAGGAGTTTGATCCTGCTGTCAATGTAAGCCTGGAGTGGTACCATTTATATCCCTGATATTATTTCAAGCTTACACTACTGTTACTCAAAATATAATCTGTCTAAATGTGCATAAGCTGGGTATAGATAGGGAGGCTGGCTAATAGTAGGAAATTAGACACAAAGTGTGGCTGTTCTGTGTCTGGTTAAAAACTTAAGAGATTGCAAGAAAATAATCAAAATTTTGTACTGCCATTGGAAGAGGGAGGAGAATTTTTAATAATATTTTGTGGAATAGTTTCCCCATTTTTTCACATATTCATGACTATCATTTTGACATTTCCAATATAGTTTAACAAGCAATATCTTCCAAGGTTTTCTTTCTCCTTTCCTCATTTTCTTACTTTCTTGGCTATTTTCCTTTCTTAAATATAGCTGGCATGTTGTTAAGACACATGCTGGGCATAATATTACTGAACAGCATCAAAATCTCAGTTACCTCCACATCCAGGCTATCAGCTGAAGGAACTGGAATCTTAGGGCCCAATTTTGCTGCTAAACTCCAGGAAAGAGCCTTCTCAAGTTCATCTAGATTTATGACCTGTTCTTTGGGGATAACTGTATGACAATCCTGAATCTTTTTTCTCCCACTGTCTACACAAGAGATCTCAGATCCACTAGTGCTGTTTCCTCTTGATAGATTCTTTTCTTCATTTAATCCTTCTTCATACATGTCTGTAAAACCATACCAAAATAAAACATTGCTAAATGCAAACAGTAAGTAAACTTGAAGGCAAATATTATTATGCCTCAGCACAGGAGGACAAAGTAACTTCCTACATCAACAGGTTGTGAAATTAGATCCATAAAATAAGTCAGTCATTGTATAATGGAGACCTGCTATTATAACTGTGGAGAATGCTTCATCTCTGCAGAGGACTATGATTCTCTATCAGAGAAAGAAATTCCCTTGGTATTCAGCAATGCAGCCCATAATAGATTTTTTTCACACTGACTGTAGGACAGAGGTCACGTGATACCTACTAGAAGTTGACTATTTTCACTGCTAGCCTATGGTGTTTATAACTGGCATGGAGTAGCAAGAAAGTACTACTACATCCCAATGCTTAATAACTACTAGTGTCCTGAGTTAACTATTAGCATTCCATAGCCATCAAAAGCATTTGCGTTTATACCTTTAGGTTGAGAGATGATGAGCTCCACTTCATCGGGAGAATTCTGTATGATTTTAACTGCAGTATTAAATGAAACGCCCTCAAGACTAATGTTATTCACAGAGATGAGTCGTCCTCCTTAAAAAAAGGATAAACCAAGACAAAGCATATCTAAATAAGGAAATAAATCCAGAGTAGCTAACTTTAAACCATGAAAGTATTTTAATTCTAATTAAAAACTAAGGACAATGACCTGGTTTGATATTTCCAGCTCTGTCTGCAGGTCCCCCAGGGATAATTGAAGCAATAAAGATACCAAGGTCTAATTTTCCTACATTTTCTCCTCCAATAATTACAAAACCTGCAAAAATGAGATAGCATGAGAATGCAGAGACACTGGCAGTATTAAAAAAGATGAACCTTAGGAGCACAAAAGGGTCTTACTCCAATGGCATCAGTTTTGTACATGGTCTGGAGAATGGGGAGCTCTGATTTACATGGCATCAAGGTCTTGATTTCGGAAAGCTTTAAACTCACATTAGAATTAAAGTGTGCTGGTGTCTTTGGTGGCTATTTAAATACAAATTCTCAATAAGAATACTTTCCTGGCTTGGGACTTTTAAAGATTCCAACTACTTTCTTACAAGAGGCATAAACTTTGTGGACCTTAGTATTTAACAGCTGCAGGAGGAAAATGGTATAAAAGCTCATTAGTTAAATTTGAACATTGTTCTCCATCATGTAGTCTAGGGCCCCTGAGGTGGACCATGTAAACTTCTAATGGATATGTAAGAGAAATTAAGAAGATTCAATCTATTGTCCAGCAGTTCAATGTCACTATCCTAGCTCAGAATATTCTGCCTGTTGCAGAATATGTTCTTCTCACTGGTAGAATAGTTGGGTTTGGGATCTAGATATTCCACACAGACCTGCACCATTTAGAAATTTGATGTTTAGTTGTATTAATGCTCAGCTGTGAAACCTGATGGTCCTCTGAACTCATCCACAAGAACAGGGTACAGTGCAATAGTGTTTTATATAACAAAAATGTTATCCATATAAGAATCCAAAAGTTGGGAAACATTTATGTTAAGCTTGTGTACACATTTTGCACCCCCTCAGGCAATACCTGAAAGGTTTGCAGAACATCATCTTACCTTGTGTAAGGTCTAAGATAAATGAAATCACTGTGCATGTATTTCAGATACAAAACTAAACCCTTGTTCCTTTCTACTCTTAGCACTTGGTCCCCTTGACCTCTGTGGCCTTAGTTACTCCTCTGAAAAAATTGTGGTCTTGCTTTATGTGCTTAGTCCTTTTCAGCCTCGAAAATTCTAAGTCCTTCACAAAGATTAGTAGATTTATTCTATAGGAAGAATAAATGAGGCAAAGAAGGTTACAATCATCTTGCGCAGCTTGAGTCAACAAGTATCAGTGTTAGCACCAGGATCTGATAGTCCCAGTAACAAACATAACATTCATGTTCCTTACTTACCAAATCCATTCTTAGGGTCACGTTTTAGGCTGGCACAAATTATTTCTCTTTCTAGACCACTTAGCAAAACTTCCTTTTGGATGGCTGGTGATCCAGGTGCTGCAGAAACAAAACAGCTAGAATAAATGCAGATTAATGCAGGGAGAGAGTAGATTCATATAGTATACAAAACTGGGACTTAAAAAATAAAAAATTTATTTTGTCTTTGTTTTCAACATTACCATTACTTCTTACTTACAAGGAAGCTCAAACAAGTGTTTGGAAATTTGCATTCTTTAGAAAAGTGTAAGTACAGTAGCTGCATAAGCTCTTCCTATAATGTTGCTTTCTGGGAGACTATGCATTTATCTGCAATGTTTTTATTAAGA